GACCCTCAGGTCGGAAGGCATCCAACATGCTACTGAGGAAGAGCAGAGCACAAGGACAAGTAGCTCCAAAGCTAATGAAGTGGCTGGGCCAAAACCAAAAGGATGCTCAGCTGTGGACACGCCTGGAAGTGAAAGGAAAGTCCGATGCTGCAAAGAAAAATACCTGGAATGTAAGATCTATGAACCTTGGTAAGCTGGATGTGGTCGAACAGGAGATGGCAAGAATAAACATTGACATCCTGGGCGTCAGTGAACTAAACTGGACGGGAATGGGCGAATTCAGTTCAGACAGTTATAATATCTACTATTGCAGGCAAGAATCCCGTAGAAGAAACGGAGTAGCCCTCATAGTCAACAAAAGAGTGGGAAAAGCTGTACTGGGATACATTCTCAAAAATGATAGAATGATCTCAATACGAATCCAAGGCAGACCTTTCAACATCACAATAATCCAAGTTTATGCACCAACCACCCATGCTGAAGAGGCTGAAATTGACCAATTCTACGAAGACGTATACAACACCTAGAATTGACTCCAAAGAAAGATGTTCTTGTCATTATAGGGGATTAGAATGATGAAGTAAGGAGTCAAGAGATAAAAGGAAGAACAGGTAAGTTTGGCCTTGGATTTCAAAATGAATCAGGGCAAAGGTTAATAGAGTTTTGTCAAGAGAACAAGCTGGTCATCACAAACACTCTTTTCCAACAACACAAGAGGTGACTCTACACATGGACATCACCAGATGGGCAATACTGAAATCAGATTATATTCTCTGCAGCCAAAAATGGAGAAGCTCTATAGAGTCAGCAAAAACAACACCTGGAGCTGATTGTGGCTCTGATTATCAGCTTCTTATAGCAAAATTCAAGCTTCAGCTGAAGAGAATAGGAAAAACCACTGGGCTACTCAGGTATAATCTAAACTAAATCCCTTAAGAATACACAGTGGAAGTAAAGAACAGATTTAAGGAACATGATTTGGTGGAAGAACTATGGATGGAGGCTTGTAATGTCGTACAGGAGGCAGCAACAAAAACCATCCCAAAGAAAAGGAAATGCAAGAAAGCAAACTGTCCAATCTTTCATTAACAGGAGGCTCTTCTCTGAGTACTGTCACTGAGAAAAATAAATTATGTGGTTTTAAAAATACATGGTTGGGCCCTGTCTTTGGAATGCCCTTCTGAGGGAGGCATGATTTGTGTCAGACTTGCTCCCTGTTCAATATGAAGCCAAAATGGAAGAAAAATTATTCCTTTCAGCTGTTTGTATCTGTTGGGAAAATAGCAAGCTTGCATGTACTGGGTTTCAGTGAGAGGGAGAAACTTTCAAAAACCAAGTGATTAACTTCTGCCGCTAATCAATTAGCAAAGTTCTTTTTCTTGCTTCTGGCTTGCCCATCCTTTCTTCCTTCCATTATTTGTTTGTTCTCTCTCCCTCTTTTTCACTGAGCTCTAACTAAAGTATACACACACTAAGTCTCCCATGTGTTTTTTTCTTTTTCCTCTCTTTTATACTTCTGACTGTAACTGAAGATCGCAACTGTAGGTGAAGATATTTTTTCTACTTAAGATGCTTTAAAGGTGATTTTTATTATGCTGTGTTGAGGGTAGATACTGATAACTTGGACTAATCTCTCACACACATTTTTTTGCTTCTGTTGCTTTTTTATGATATACTTAGTTTTTTTACCATATACCCTGCTAACTAAAAAGAGAGAGAGAGAGAGAGGGACCACCAAATTCCAATAACAACATCCAGTGTTACATAACTACAAGCAGGTTTCCTTTCTGCTCCTCACATCTGCTTCAGATAGTTGTGGCCTCCAGTGAAGTCTTGGAGGGAACATATTGCAGAGAGGAGGGGAGAATAGAATAGTTCTATTGCTGAAGGGAATATGGTTCGATGGGCTGAATCCAATGTAACGAAGAGAGAGGCTACACTGGCTAATGGTATGGAATCTGCTGCGGAAGTAGAATGGATGAATTTAAACCTTTAAAAATTAATCACATGACATAAAGGCCAGTGTGAATCAGCCTGGCGCTTCTTGCTTCAGTTGCAGAAGTTCTGGGGGCTTCTACTTTTTTTAAAAAAAAGCTGGAGTTATTCAAATTGTGTTTTCTCCATCTGATCAGATATCACCTTATCACTCTATTGATACTGTGGACTTCTGCATGGACAAAAAAAAAGAGAGATAAAAATCAAAAAGAAATAGAAATAACCCTGACAAATTATAACATATTACTACCAGTATGTTTCCATTTCTTCTGTGAATGTGTTTATACATTGTGCAGAACTTTGGAAGACTGCCCCTTTTTCCTAACACTATGCAACACTTTAACCAATCCATTGGCTTTATATTGAATCATAAAAGGAGAACCAGGGAATGGCGGAAGGTAGGATCAAAGGAATGGGGGCTTTGTTGCAGATCAAACCACATAGGATTGAGGGGCCAGTGTGGTCAGTGGCTCCATGGTCTCTGTGTGATCACTTAATCCAAAGAGAAGTGTAAAGTAGTTTGCAATGTAGTTGCAGCCCCAGTAACTTTTAATTCAGGTAAACTCATTAAATGCGAATGTTTTACAATAGTGATTATTCAGATAAAATGTCTATAAATTTTCATTATATCTTGGAAATATGGATTGGATTATTCCAGTTTTCAGGTGTCTTAGCAATAGTTTTGAGCTTCTTCCTACAATATCTTCTCTGATGTTTTGTTCTTGCTCTTTTTAAAGAGAATCGTTGCAGTCCAGAATTCATGGTGCATCAAACAATAATGAACAAGTGTGCCTACACAATGGAAGGGAAACATATTTTGGATAACATCCTCACTTCCAGCCATCTAAGAGCCTGTCAGAAATGGTAAGTTAAATTTGAATCTTGTATTTTATAAAAGTAATTTTGGAAAGTGTCTTTAAAACATTAGGAAAGAAAATTATCACGAATAAACATGATTGCGGTGGCCATGGCCATTGTTAACTAATCTTCTGTGGTGGTGGCAGAAAAGGTACTACTTTTTATTTCAAAAGAAAACAAGGTGAGCACTGTCTCTGCACTTCATTTGAAAGTGGCATTGTATTTCTGGAAGCCTTCTAGGAGTGCATTTCTACTTGTAAACACATTCCAGTTGGTAGTTTTTTTTGTCACAACAGACCTGCTACAGTGACAAACTTTGCAGTGGGGGACACCCACTTTGCAGTGGGTGGACTTGCATGGTGTCAGAAATTTCCTGTCACTAGTATAAGAGATGCAAGTTGACAGAGGTGTGTGTGCGTTTGTTTGCGGTGGGAACAAGAGGATAACATATTGATTCTTATGTTTAGTCCATTACCAAAACAAGCAGTGGGATAAATATGCAATGTAATAGCTGTGCAAAGAGAAAAAAATCCAGTTTTAAATGATGTTGGACCCCCAAATCTTGTTTTAAAAAGTGGTGCCCATTGCTGGAATGTGAAACCTGTGTTTGGGTTTACAGCAGCATGCCTCTGAGCATGTGCAGAAATCATTTTCCCTTACTGATTTACTCAGTCTTTATGCTTGTAATGATGAACAGGCCCTCTGTGTCAAGAGGCACATTTTGGAGAAATGTTCATGTGATTAAATTTGAACTGTTATGAAAAAGGAAAGTTGATATCCAGATTTATACAGTACAGAAAAGAAGTGTATATGCAAAGCGTTTTCAATGCATGCTGTAACTGGAGATTTTCCTCCAGTCTAGATTTCCACTGGTGACTGTAATAGGTATTGCTGTCTACTGTAGTGTGTGGCTTGACCTGTTCTGATTAATTAACTCAAATAATTTTCCTAGGATCGTGCTCTTGCTCTTTTTGGCTTTGAACACCTTGTAGGCTTTGGGGGTTGATGTACAGGTGGTCCTGATGCAGGATGGAGAACTGGACTGAGTAACTCTCTGGTCCTTTTCTAATTGCTAAACAGCCAGTGAGAATAAATTATAGGGCTTGAAACCTGACAGTGCTTGACCCTAAAAACGATACAATGTTTGCGGCCACTATCATATTTCAGAAGTTTCCAATTCAGATCTGGATGCAGATGCCATGTAGAAGTTGGGTAGAAACCAGAGACCAAGCTTTTCTTAAGTGAGGTTCCCCAAGGTTCCTGGTCCTTCCCCAGTGCCCTTTTTCTTTTGGGAAGTGAACTTTATTGTAATCATTCTTAATGGGAAAATGCACACACCTCTATTTTCTTGAAGATGCTGGCCTGGAGTTTGAATCTCCACTGTGCCTCCCAGGAGAGGGTCAGTTGAGATCACCCACAGCACATGTTCCAGGATGCTATCAGAAGGTGGGACTTGTACGTTGCATTTGAGTACTTCGGATCTAGAACATCCTGGGAAGGTTGCCTTAATCTGGAATCAGCTTCATGGCACATTATTATTATTAAATTAAAGGCAATTTAAGTCATGATATAAATCAGCAAGAAACAGGGTATATTCATGTAATTAGTACTATATCTGTAACTTCAATTTTTGTATGTGATACATATGTGTTTCAATATTTCATATATTGCTTGAGCAACAGCAAACATTATAATGCCATTGTACAAAATGCTGGTAAGGCCGCACCTGGAGTATTGCATACAGTTCTGGTCTCCGCACCTCAAAACAGGCATAGTGGAACTGGAAAAGGTGCAGAAGAGAGCGACTAAAATGAATACTGAGCTGGGGCACCTCTATTATTAGGAAAGGCTACGGTGTTTGGGGCTCTTTAGTCTAGAGAAAAGGCAGCTGGTGGGGGGGGGACATGATTGAGACGGAAGAAATTATGTAGGGGATCGATAAAGCGGATAGAGGGAAGCTCTTTTCCCTCTCGTGCAATACCAAAACTGGGGGCATCCACTCAATTGAGTGTTGGGAGATTGAGAGCAGACAAAAGAAAACCTTTCTTTACCCAGTGTGTTGTTAGTCTGTGGAACTTCTTGCCACATGATGTAGTGATGGCATCTGGCCTAGATGCCTTTAAAAGGGAATTGGACAGATTCCTGGAGGAAAAGTCCGTCTCAGGTTACAAGCCATGAGGTGGATGTGTAATCTCCAGGCTTAGAAGGAAGATACCCCCAAATGCAGGGGAGGGTTATCAGGAGACAGGTATCTAGTTGTCTCTTGTGCTCCTAGAGGCATCTGGTGGGACCACTGTGAGATACAAGAAGCTGGACTAGATGGGCCCTTGGCCTGATCCAGCAGGGCTCTTCTTACGTTCTTAATTACATTGATTGCTTTAGTCACTGCTCCTTAAGTGACTAAAGGCTATAAAGAAAATTAATTAACACTGTTCCATTCTTATAAGCAGGGTTTGGCTAACTAAGTCACTGGGTATATTAAAAAGGCATACTGAGACCCAAGGAACCTTACAAGCAGGATATGTGTGAAATAGCATTTCTTTGTTCATGTTCCTCTGATCTACAGAGACATTTTGTCTGGCACTTTTAGAGGTAATAGTATTTATAGCCAATAATATGCTGATCAGTAGCCATTGATATTCTGATCCACCATGAATTTGTCTAATATGCTTTGAAAGGCACCTAACAGTCATCACCACAATTACTTTTGTGGATCACAGCTCCTAGAATCCTCCAGCCAATGAGCTATAGGAGTGTGGGACTTGTAGTCCAGAAAACTAAAAGCATTTACTGTATTATAGTATTGAATCTGTGCTCCAAACATGTGCTCCTGAGAATTGCAGGGGTGACTTGTTATTTACTGGCAGGGAGCAAGTGAATGATATGTCATTAGTCTTCCATGTGTGTGGAAAGCAATAGGATTTCAGCCATTGATTATGTCCTGTATGAAGAAGTACTACTTTTTATAGGTCCTGAATCTCCCTTCAGTCAATTAATTTGGATGACTCTGAACTCTAAAATTATTAGCAAAACAACTTTTTGCTATCCATTTTCACTACACTTCAGTTTTATACTCCATCATCATATGTTCCTTTATTGTTTTTTTTCTAAGCTAGAAGGCCCCAAATGTGGCAGCCTTTCCTCATAAATGGAGTTTATTTTGTTTGCCTTTTTCTGCACTCCTTTCAGCTCTAATGAAAATTATACACAGTATTCCAAATATGGTCCTTTTGTCAGCATGGAATGACGCAGTTTTGTTTCCAGTTCCTCTTAGCAGTTACAGTATGTGAAAAGAAGAGAAGTGCTCTTATGGATGAGTAACAAAATTGTCTTCTAATGGTGTCCAGTACAGGTTTTGCCTTTTTTTATAGCAGCTATGCACTTCAATGTTTATAGTGAGCTATCTATCACAACCTCAGGACCTCTTTCTTTGTCATTCACTCTCAACTCAGTTCTATCAATGTATCTGTGAAATTACAAACATTGTGCTCCAGTATACGTTACTTTCCCTTATTAAACTGAAGAACATTTGCTATTTGAATGCTTATTCCCCCAGTTTGGAAAGTTCTTTCTGGAGTGCTTTGCATTTCCTCTTTAAAAGCCTCTCTGAATAATGTGATGTTGTCTGCAAACCTGTCCCATATCACTGTTCACTTCTGACTCCACATCACTTGTAAATAAGTTAGAAAGCAGTCCCAATACAAATCCTCTTGTGATCCCTTTGGTTTGCTTCCCTCCATTGAGAAAATTCATAATTTATTTTGACTTTCTTTCTTTCTTTCTTTCTTTCTTTCAAGTAGTTGCCTATCCATAAGAATGCTGTTCCTTTTTTCTCATGACTGCTGAGCTTGCTCAGGAGTCTTTCATGAAATGCTGTCAAAAGCTTTTTGAAATGCCTACAGTATTCCTATTTGGCAATTCCACTGGAAAGGTTGAAGGGCTGAAATCATGGGGAGCGGGGTGGTGGTGGTGTAAGAACATGAACATATGCTTCAGCGCCTACTACAAAATAAAGTAGATCTTCATGCATTCAGTACAACAGTCTGTAGAGGGCCAGAGGCACTTTCAGCAGTACTCAGGTAAATGTGCTTACAGTGATCAAGAGCCCTTCTTATCAAGGCTGTCCCTCACAAGAGCTCTGTAAGTGCATTCTGTTTAACATGCTTACAGTTACCTCTGCACATTTTTGCACCGAACACACAAGGGTCTGCTTTATTTATGGTTAGGGTGGGGACAAGAATATGGTGTTTACATCCATCGCAGTGTCCCTTATCACCCATTTAGTCCTTCATAATTTCACTCATAACACCAAATAAACAAAACAAGACAAGACAAAAACATGTCCCACCTTAAGGACTAAAATAAACAAAACAAGACAAAACATGTGGTACCTTAAGGACTATTATATTTTAATGTGAGCTTTTGTGGACATTATCCACGAAAGCCCCCATTAAAATATAATAGTCGTTAAGGTGCCACATGTTTTTGTTTTGTTTTGTTTCTTTGGATTTTGCCTGATATGCTTGCACAGACTAACACAGCTATCTTTTCTAAAACACCAAATAAGGTTAACATCTTCTTACTCACCCTGTCCATGTGTTTGTTGAGTCTTAAAAAACACTAAAAAAATTATTGAGACATGACTTATTTTGCACAAGCCACCTTGATTCTTTTTGCAGCAGGATCTATTGTTCCACATTGGAACTGCTCGGTGAACAATGATAATGGAAAGGTTTGCAGGCAACACCAGATTATTCAGGGAGGCTTAAAAAAGGGATTACAAAAAGCCCTTTAATAACACTTTCCTCCATTTTACAGAGAAATGATTCCAAACCTTATGATTATGATTTTGTTTTTGCATTTATTTGAATTCTTTTTTTAAAATGAGGTTATATTCTCCACTCTCCAGTTTTACTGCAGAGGCTTCTCCTTGTGGCCCCTTGAATATCCCAGAATTATTTTTTAAAACTGTGGTTACAGTTTGCTGCCAAAATTCAGTGGAAGTT